AACACCTGAAGATTTTTTGCTGTTGGATGTGTTTCTAGGATATGCTGGCATCTGAGCGCGACCATCTCAAGCAGGCGCTGGACTTTGTCGTCGGGCAGACTCAAACACTGGAGAAGGAGAAAAATGCTCTTTCGCAGGAGCTGAAGGAAAAGGCCAAATTGCAGGAATTCATCGCCCTTGAGGTAACGAAGGTAATGCGTCAATCAAAATCCTCCAATGATCTTTTGAGTTTTGATGACCGGCCACATTGTCAAAATGATCTCCGTTAAAACTGACATGCAAAAAAAAAAAAAAAAAAACTCCTAAAAATATGCGGTGCAGTCTGCCATTGTTTTTTGAGATGGTTTTTACTGGTGCTCTTTTCAAAAGGTTACGATATGCTGCTTGTTTTTGAAACTTTGCCTTTCAAAGCTCCAAGATTCTCTTTGTGAATCAAATGTGCAACCCAACACAATTTCCCGCCTTTGGTCACTCGCCCTGACAATATATTTGACAAAAATAAGCCGTGCAGGTGGAAAAGCTCAGTGATACTGTTAAGTCAGGACAATTTCTTGAGTTTTGCCGTATTCTGAAAACTGAGACAAGGAATAATCGATTGTAACTTTTATCTCCAGTTATGAACATCTTAACCCTTGTGCACCAAAACATCCCATAACAGGACTGTTGACGTACAAACTAAAATGATGTCATGATCTATTAACATGTTGGAGGCGCTAACTTGTCCATATTGAATAGTCGGAATTCAATGCTTTTGTTTTTTACTTCTATGCAGATGATAGTTACTTCTAGCCATAGCACAATACTGCTTTTTATTGCTTTGATGTCCATAGAGGGCACCAACCTCAAAAAGTAAATAGAAACTAGACATGTGTATGGATAGGTCTGACGCCACTGAACGTTTTGAGTGGTCGCAAGAAAAAAAAAGGAAGAAATGACTTGATATTACACTTTAAAGCCACCGTTCCATTATGGTGCCTTTGTCCGATGTGTCGTTCAAAAAAAAATCAACGCACAAGGGTTAAATGGACGTGATACACTACTTAAAAGCGTTACATGACTTTTAATGAAACACCACACGTTTTAGGGCATGCCCCCGGAGCCCCCTAGAGGGGCTGTGTTCCCCTTGGGGCTAAGCCCCCCTTGTTCTTGAAACCTAGTGACGCCCCCGCTTGTAGCCACAACTTTCGCCGGTTTTTCCGGAAGGGGTGTTTGCCAGCAGGAATTCAATCAAAGACGAGCTCTCTGTGTGTGCGCTCTTTCTATTCTGACAAGCCACAGCACAGCGTGAGGACGGCATGATTTTGTTCTGTCAAGCGTGTTTTCTACCCGCCGGATGCGCGCGCAGCCATATTTAATGTATGCCCACGTCACATGAAACCGGTGGAGACAAGTGGACGTACACTGTACATGACTGTTTTAGGTCAGTTGAAACAGGAGCAGAACTGGAACTTGAACTTCAAACAGTTGGTTCGCAAAAGCAGCAAGCCTTGGATCAAACTGTGGCAATGGAGGATAAGGCGAAACAAGTTGACTTGCGGCTCAAAAGTGAACCCACCGCGAAAGGAGAGATGATTAAGCTGCGCGTGGCCCAATTTGAAGAACAGAGTGACAAGCAGGTGGGTCCAAAACGGGATTCTGTTCACATGCTTTCTTGCCCACCCGACTGTTTTTATTTTGAAGTACAGCCTCGAGCTCGAAATAGATTTTGCGGATATTGTCGAGCCACGGAGAATCAAATCCAGTTTGGAATTGTGCTGTTGCGAAAGGAAACACTTTAGGACTATTAACCCTTGTGCACCAAAACATCCCATAACAGGACTGTTGACGTACAAACTAAAATGATGTCATGATCTATTAACATGTTGGAGGCGCTAACTTGTCCATATTGAATAGTCGGAATTCAATGCTTTTGTTTTTTACTTCTATGCAGATGATAGTTACTTCTAGCCATAGCACAATACTGCTTTGTATTGCTTTGATGTCCATAGAGGGCACCAACCTCAATAAGTAAATAGAAACTAGATATGTGTATGGATAGGTCTGACGCCACTGAACGTTTTGAGTGGTCGCAAAAAAAAAAAAAGGATTTAGAAATGACTTTGATATGACACTTTAAAGCCACCGTTCCATTATGGTGCCTTTGTCCGATGTGTCGTTCAAAAAAAAATCAACGCACAAGGGTTAAATGGACGTGATACACTACTTAAAAGCGTTACATGACTTTTAATGAAACACCACACGTTTTAGGGCATGCCCCCGGAGCCCCCTAGAGGGGCTGTGTTCCCCTTGGGGCTAAGCCCCCCTTGTTCTTGAACAAGGCAACTGGAGAGCAACAACCTCACTCACATGCAAACCCTGAAAGAAGTCACACCATCAGCTAATCACATCCACAGGTACTCATCCATGTTAAGAGCACTGCATGGTGAGTTTTCAAGGAGATTTGAAGATCTCAGAACAATGGAGGTTGAAATGCAAGTGATTTCCTGTCCCTTTACCTGCAATGTAGATAATGCACCCACTGATGTCCAGCTGGAACTCATTGACCTTCAGTCTGACACACTACTGGCTGAGCATTTTAAGTCACAATCACTGCTGGAATTCTACTCTTCTCTTAAGGAAGAAAAGTTTCCAAACATGAGAACACATGCGCAGAGGATGTTTGTTCTCTTTGGCTCTACCTACATATGTGAGCAAACATTCTCTGTGATGAAGTTTAACAAATCCATGTATAGATCTTCCCTCACTGATGATCATCTGTCAGCAATACTTCGCATCTCCACCTCAGACTTTCAACCTGACTTTGATACACTTGTTAAAGACCAACAAAGACTAGATTTCTCTCATTGAATAAGAAAAAACAACTCTAAATGAGGTGATTTAACTACAAATAAAGTGTTGTTTTTTCTTTTTTTCTGTCTTTAGAAAGTTAAGAACCTCTTTCCAGCAACGTATAAATCCAAAAATGCATTTTGGGGTGAATGTGACTGAAAATGATCACGAATATAATCATCATCATCACAAATGTTCACATTTTGGCAACCATTGTTTTGGAAAATGTTATTCAATAAATGCCATTTTTCCAAAGACAACCTCTGTTTTTCAATGCTCATAACATATTCTTAAAAGTCTTAAAAGCGTGCCAAAAATGCAAAATACTGCTTTTTAAATAAAGAAATGCAATTAATATTCTGTAAAATTTAGTTCAGCCTTTTGATCCGGCCCTCCATAATATTTTCTGGTTCGCATGTGGCCCGATGCAAAAAATAATTGCCCACCCCTGCTATACAGCATAGGTGTCAAAGTCAAGGGGCCAGATCTGACCTGCCACATTATTTTATGTGGCCCGTGAAAGCAAATCAAACATGGCAACATCCATGATGCTTGCTAAAATATAAACCAACATTTAAAATTCTCATCTGTAATAAATAAAAGAGACACTGTAAGCATTTTGTTGTTTTTGTTTTTCCTGTTGAATGGCTTTTCCTTGTCTTTGTGACAAGTGATTTTTCATTTGCAATTTCCCTTGCTGTTTGCAAAAACTTTTTGTTACCCTCATTCTTATCCTGGTAATTTTGTTCCCAGCGTTTTATGTTGTACTTTATTGGTCGTGTGACCTTATTATGTAACTAAAGCATTTTTATAATACAATTTCTTTTGGTATACGTTTGAGGGATCCGCTCCTATTCCCGATTTGTCAGGCACCCAAATCGGCTGAAAGACTCATACGCAGCAAAGTTATTTGGCGGGCCTCCTGCAGATATGAGCGGCAATTCAGCTGAATCTGCCACCGAAAGTGGTTTCAATGAAGTTATTAATCGCGTCTGGAACGACTCTTGACGTTGCAAGACGAGAATTGGCGGTGCAGATGGACGACAATAATCTATTGCTGTTGTGAAAGCGCGATATAAATCAGCATGTATTGTAATGTATTGTATTGCGAGCCACAAGAAGCACTTTTCGGAGATGAAGAAGAGCACGCCCGACGGCAGGTAGGCTAACTTTGACAAATCTTATTGGCTCCATTAATGTTGCTATTGCAGGAGTTTCAATCAATGTTACAAATAATATGATAAAAATTAAATAGTTTTGGGCATATGCCTTTTATTTGGTACTGTGTAACTGAGTGTAAGTATATATTAATGAGAGAGGAATCAACGATTATTTGCACGAACGTCTTTGGCAATTTTGGGATTAGAATACTGTATGTTTGAAAACATCCGCGATGCACTGAAGCCGCGATAAACGAACCGCGAAATAGCCGGGTCTTTAGAAAGACTAGACCAGGGGTGTCCAAACTTTTTGCCAAGGGGGCCAGATTTTATGTGGTAAAATGTTGGAACGTTTTGCGATCAGCGTTGCTACCGCATAACTCGCCGCTGTGGCGTTCTCGTTTGACTCTCGAGCTCTTGCAAAATACTGCTGCTGTGAGATTAAACGAGCTTCAAACTGCTTCAATTTTCTGTGCGTTCCTTGCCTGTAATCATGTCGTACATGTCAGCGTGTCTTGTTTGGTAATGTCGCTTGACATTATAATCTTTAAAAACAGCCACTGTCTCTTGGCAAATGAGGCAGACACAGTTGTTGCGTATTTCAGTGAAGAAATAATCCAATTTCCATCCATCCTTGAATCGTCGTCCCTCGCAGTCAACTTTCCTTTTTCTGTTGATTGTCGCCATTTTAGAAAACTGGGAAGTGAATATGTGCACGGAGTGATGTCTCGTAGACTCGTGAGTGATGTCTCGTAGAGTGCTACTGCCCTCTAGTGGCTAAATACTATTACTCATTTCGTGAATGCTATTACTCATTTAGCCACTAGAGGGAAGCAGCACTCTATGAGATATCACTCACCAGTCTACGAGACCTCACTCCGTGCGACACGTGTCCCATTGCGCACAACCAGCGGGCCAGACGGCACTGATTTTATGACAGAGGCCGAGGGCGGGATGGATTTGGCCCGCGGGCCGGACTTTGGACACGCCTGGACTAGACTGAACACAAAATAAATTTTATGTGGGCTTTATTCCCGACTGGACAATAAAAAATTGTACAGCATTAAGATGAAAGCCTGAGATAGTAACTAAATTTTAAAAGAGTTCGAAAGGGATCTAAGAGATCAAAGAAGAGTATCTAACAGACTAAAGACAATTACAACACAATAGACAACAGCAGTGGCTTGCTTGATAAGGAAATAGAAATAAAAATACATTACTGTATTTCCATGTTCCAACAATCCATGAAACTTAAAAGTGCAGACCGACAAATCATTACAATTCAATGTGATGAGAGGACACACTTACTCGACACTTTCCGGCATGTTGGGTGTATACAAAACACGTGGAAAAACAAATGCTCTCCCCTCTAAAGAACAGATACACAGTTCATATCATTTCACAGTAAAAATAAAACACATTTACATCATGTAACATTACGAAAACACTTTGACTTCACTAGTTCGACTAGTGAAGTCAAAATGTCGCACTAGTGGAACTAGTGGATATTTGGCGCATCACTGGTGAGCAAGTAACATTTTTGGACTCACTTGTTGGATATCAAGGCTTTAACGGTCTTAAACTAGTGCACTAGTCAATGTTTTATCCTCCACTAGTTAACTAGTGGCTATTTCAGCTCCCACTAGTTAACGAGTGCAAGAAATCATAGGCCACTAGTTAACATGTTAGAACAATCCACGTTTCACTAGTTAACATGTTAACACTTTTTAAATCTTACTAGTAAACTAGTAAGACTTGGAACCTCACTAGTTTGGTCTAGTGGGCCACTAGGGCATAAAAAAAGCTGACTAGCTTGGAAGTTCCCTCTGCTTGTGTGCTTCCAGGTGTCACTAGCTTCCAGGTGCCACTAGTTAGACTTTTGTCAGCACTAGTTGGACAAAAGTGGCACTAGTTGCCAAAAATGAGTTGCTAGTGAGGATTTCTGTGCAACTAGTTCGACAAAGTGTGTCACTTGTGTGGCTGAGTGTCGAACTACTGCTGAAAGAGGTCGAACTAGTGTAACACACCAACGTCTGATATCAGGGATTTGGAATAAATGCTCAAATGGCTTGCCATAGTATTCTGATATCAGGGATTTGGAATAAATGCTCAAATGGCTTGCCATAGGACGGCATGATTTTGTTCTGTAAAGCGTGTTTTCGACCTGCCGGATTCGCGCGCAGCCATATTTAATGTATGCACACGTCACATGAGACCGGCGCATATAAGTGTACGTACACTGTACATGACTGTTTTAGGTCAGTTGAAACAGGAGCAGAACTGGAACTTGAACTTCAAACAGTTGGTTCGCAAAAGCAGCAAGCCTTGGATCAAACTGTGGCAATGGAGGATAAGGCGAAACAAGTTGACTTGCGGCTCAAAAGTGAACCCACCGCGAAAGGAGAGATGATTAAGCTGCGCGTGGCCCAATTTGAAGAACAGAGTGACAAGCAGGTGGGTCCAAAACGGGATTCTGTTCACATGCTTTCGAAATAGATTTTGCGGAGATTGTCTAGCCACGAAGAATCAAATCCAGTTTGGAATTGTGCTGTTGCGAAAGGAAACACTTTAGTAGGACTATTAAGAGTGCGTGGCACTTATTGGACTTGTGACACAATGAAAGTTGACATTTTAGCTTACGACTGATTTGAGGTGAACATTTCTGTTTGGTCATAAGACCTGCAATTCTAGCTCATTTATAATATAACTAACAATGTGTAAATTGAGTGGTTGGTAGGTTTTGGTTGGATTGCTCTACGTTCGGAATGGGCAAAAAGGGGAGATTTGAACACAGCTCTTTTTATTTTTCAACGTCTGAATCCTAACTGTCAAACACCCCTGCGTCCGGTCACGACCACCCTTTTGCTTTTTCGAAGCGACATAAGAATATTTCAGAAAGTATTAAACAGAATATAATTTAGTGTGTGTTTGTTTGTTTGTTTTAAGATAAGATAAGATAAGATCTCCTTTATTTGTCCCACACTGGGGAAATTTACAGCCTTCAGCAGCAAGATTGTGGGTAGAAAGAAGAGAAAAGAAAACACAGTTCAATTAAGTGCAATATAAATACAATATTTATATTGATATATTGATTATATTTATTTTGAGTTTTGATTACAGGAGACATTGTGAAAATGATCTACGTTCGAATTGACATGCCAAACAAACTCCTAAAAATATGTGTTGCAAAAGAAAGCCAACAAAAAAATGACAAAATAGACAAAACAGCAGATGAGACACAGACAATTGTGCACTCTTGACAACTTTCCTGCATACACTTTGATGTCTGAAGCAGTTTGAGATGAAAGAGGAGCGAATCAAAGTGTCCTTTTCACCAGTGGATCAAAGATCTCAAGATACCAGAGCGGCCCCTCCAAGGGAAAGCGTCACTCCAATGTGGCTCGCGACAAAAATGAATTTGACACCCCTGTCTTAATGAATCAAATGTGCAACCCAACACAATTTCCCGCCTTTGGCCACTTGCCCTGAAAGCAGAAGTGCACATGGGAAAAGAACCCATCTGAGACAACGGCTCAAACAGGTGGAAGATCCCCACGCATCCAACTTAGGAAAAGCCTTTTGATGACATGACAACAGAGCTCGAGACACTTCAAACACAATTAGGTTGTCTTTCGCAAAGCAAATAATCGGCACCGTATTGTACCCCCTTCCACCGCCCTCCTTTTGTGGTGACTTCAGGTCATGTGTATCTCTTCGGAGGTTGGGGTGTATGTTGTGGCTTTAAAAACCCATGTACTACTTTACTATTAGTCTTTTTATTTTATATACTGTATGTTGACCTCGTTACGCAGAGCTGAGCAGTCCAGCCGGTTCTGATTTGAGCCTATTCTGTCCTTCAGATTTTTCCGCAGACGGTCACGTTTTGTTTTCCCATTTCAGAAAGAGCAACTTCGGGCTGCACAACAGGAGATCAGGAGGCAGAAGAACCAACCGCAGGGAGAGCTGCAGCAACTTATTGCTGGGGTAGATGAATGCTCTGCTTTTTTTCACATTACAAGACAATACAATACAATCCATGCTGATTTCTAGAGCGCTTTCACAACAGCGGCAGCTGTAACAAAGCGCTTAACAAAACAGTTCACATCAAGTAAAATAAGAAACACAACACATAACGTCAAACACGGACAGTCGCGCGGTCCTGACCACGTTTCCGTTGCACGCTTTGTTGTTTGAAGCAGTTTGAGATGAAAGAGGAGAGAATCAAAGTGTCCTTTAACCAGTGGATCAGAGACGTCACGCTCAAAATGCGCACACGTCGGCGACAAGCTAAGTTTCAAAGAAGAAGCCATTGACGAAAAAAGAGATTGGTTCACTTCTCCTGTCCCATGGAAATCCATTTCAATTCCAAGCGGCGACTCTCGGTTCCAAATACGCATCGGCGCTCATCTCTCCTCATTCTCAACTTCAGCAGCCATCCATCCAGCCTCACTAACGCCGACTGTCCAACAGCGCCGACCTTTCCGCTGAACAAAACGGGGTTGTGAAAAACGCTGCCCATTCCAGGCGCAAAAAACACAAGTGCCCCATTGCGAAATAACGTTTTGCAGATCATGAAATGATTTCGGCATCGACTGCTTTTGCTTTTTCTCGATGTACCGGTAACTGAATTGGGGCATTTCAAACCTTGCTTATGTGCGTGCGTGTGCGTGTGTGTGTGTGTGTGTGTGTGTTAGTGCGCTCTGCTCAAGCGCGAAGGCCCACGTGGGGCAATTTGGGTTTTTTTTGATACCTGTATGTTAATTGGTCGCTACTTTGCGGATTTTCGTTTATCGCGGGTGGTTTTGGCCCCCATTAACCTCGATAAACGAGGAATTGCTGGAATAGAGAAAATACTCGGCTGTATTCAACAAGCACTTGAAAACAACCACCGCTGTAGACAAAGTGCTGTCCATGGAGCAAAAATAATGAATACAACTAACAAAACAAAATAATAACAAAGACAGTAGAAAGCACAAAAACGGTCAAATTAAAAACAAAGTCGCATGCTGAGCCAAAAGCCAAAGAATAAAAATGAGTTTTTAGACGTGTTTTAAAAATGGGCAGCGATGGCGCTCGCTCAACGTTTTGCGGAGTGTCATTCCGAAGAGAGGGACCAGCAAGAAGAAAGGCTCGCTCCCCTCTGAGCCTCCGCTTTCTTCTCTGTACCCGTAAGAGCGTCTGGTCCGCAGATCTGAGGCGCCGGGCAGGTACGCGGGGGCTCATAGAGGTCAGGTGGGGCGAGGCCATTTAAAGACTTGAAAATGAATAGGAGGATTTTAAAAGGAACTTTAAATTGTGAAGTGATGCCAGTGTAGGAGTTATGCGGGGCTCTTGCGAGTACCGGTCAAGAGGCGAGCAGCGGCAAACATGAGTCGAGCCTTCGGGTGCCGCTTTTGGGGGGAGGGCTTTCTTCTGTCCATGGCGACGCAAAACACACTTGACTGAGGAAACGGACACCTGTGTTCCAGCAGCTTCTAATTCTTGGCAGATCTGCGTTTTGGTGGTTCTCGGTTGACTCTTCAACCTCTGGACCAGTTTTTTCGCAGCAGCAGGTGATAGGTTGCATTTTCTACCTGATGGTGGCAATGACAAAGCAGTATAATAATGCACTTTATACTTCCAAACAGTTGTTTGCACCGTTGCTCTTGGGACCTGCGGCTGCTTGGAAATTGCGACAATTGTGACATGACACACAGCTCATTCATGTTTCTGTATTTTTGATTGAACAGAAAAAGTGACCAAAAGAACCAATTGAAGAACCAAATTTCATGTTGTTGGGGTTTTTTTTTTTTTGTTCAGTTTGTTTTCTTTTTAAATCTGTCAGAGAAAAATCTGAGTTGTACACATAGCCCCATGTTCTTTTCAAGTGTTTGTAAATGTTTGATTCATTTTCCATGAAAAAGCCTTGCCTCCACCAAAAAAAAAACAAAAATTAGGGGGAAAAAAAAATAGCGACTGGATGAATCCACCGGACACTGTAGTAGAGGAAACATGCTTATAATTTCACGTGTGATTTGTCGGCCACTAAATTGAAATATTAGAAGCTGTAACAAAAAATGATACGAAGGGTGGTGTTGGGGAGGTGGTAGGACTGATTCGTGTAAGGAGATAACTATAGACTAGATGGTGTGCCGGTCAGAGCACAGGTAAGAAGAGACAGGAACTCCAGGGGCTGTTTCAATATTCTTTACTGTGGGGTGTTAAATGAATTCGGAGAAATACAAACAAAAGGGGATGTTGGTTGAGGAGGGATGAGGAGGGACGCTTGGGAGGGCTGAAGAGGGAAGATGAAGGATGAAGAGGGATCGAGTGTTTGTTGATTGAATAGCGGGGGTCGATTTGAATAGGGGGGTCGAGTCTACAAATGTGAGAAAAGGAAACTTCGTTATAACATTCATCATCATATTCCTGGATGCAACCAAGGAATAACTAATCAAATGAAGTG